TGATGATGGGAGTAACTAATCCCAACGGATCGAATAGTGACGATGCAACTGACAAGATGGTGCGTTTGGTACGTGGTCTGACTCTACTCTTGGCGAAAACGAAAGCGTGAAGGTGTCCCGTACTTGGTATTTGGGCCAGCGTGCTAGTTGGCATCGTCGTCCAGCTGCAAGTGTTTGTTGTATTGTCATCGACGAACTTACAGTGGTTTGGATGCCATTTGCGAGTTCCAATTGGCCATCCTGTAGAATCGTTGTAACTTCCCTCTTGTTTGATGTAGCTCCTCTGCGTGTCCGATCCACCCAGGAGTTCTAGAACGACGGTTTGGTGGCTTCAGCCCCCTCTTTGTCCTGGTGGTGGCTGGATGGGACATGCTGCGTATGGCCAGATACGGTGCGGCCGCCGTCCTCGTTGCGGTATTCGTCGAAGGTGTTAAGGGTTGCGATGGCGAAGCTCTCAAAGGATGTATTGAAATCTGCGATCTTGGGCGGAACGTTGACGACGGAACATCTTTACTACATCGCGTGGGTGCATGCGGTGTATACGAAAACAAGAAGCAATGTTAAAGGTCTGGCTGATGGTCGGCCCGACCATTAAAAGATCGTTGTGCGATTTCTGGGACGTTGTCTTGCAAGGTGCGTCGAAAACCACTCTGAGCTTCGTTGATGTGTATTTGGTTTGAGCACGCAGTGGTGCGGAATATAATAATGCGGAGTGTTACTGGCGGGTGACCCGAGACTCATGTGTCCCAGGTCTTGGAACCCTGCATGAATTGCTGTTTGGCCCCTCAGGCCGTTTGCCTAGGTTGCGTTCGGCGATAAAATCTCCTCCTCGCGATGTCGGAAGAGGTCCGAGAGCGGTAGGTGCATCCTTGTGGGTCGATCCCTCGACCATCAGAGTTGCGTCGTCGTGGTTGTGTGGGAACTCCTCAATTTCGCTGCTCCGGCGTAGTGTATTCTCGGGGTCACTACATGATCGATGCGCCTGGACGTTGTTTCGTCTTTATCTAGTACGATGAGAGTACTGATGGAGGGTTCTGGGATGAGCTCTGTCGACCAGACACTATCCATCCAAGTAGCGTTTTCTGGAGTACGGGCAGATCCTTTCTAATTTAGCTTGGCCGACTGCCAAGATATCGAAGAAGGTTTCCGTGCCTAAAAGCAAATCGATGCGACGAGACTTGTTGAAGTGTTCGTCGGCTAGCGATGAATGCTGCGGAAATTCCGGGAAATGTCAATTTCGAATCTGGGTGTGGGCGGTGTGTGATGTCACGCAAAATCGGGTAGCTCGAATGGTTGTGCCTCGCTGTGTTGGTGGTTGTTGGTGTTTGTTTGCGTTTGCGTCTCTCTGCATCTGGTTGCGTTTGCTCCGGGCGTCGGAGACTTTGGGCGACTCCTCGGATATGAATTCACCTGAGAGCTGATCCAGCGCCTTCCTTTGTGCTCCGGCGCTCCTTGCAGGCCGCGCTGTGGCCGGATGACGCATCGGACGCGGTTCCGTGTGGTGTGTGACTGCGTCGAACTTGTGCAGACTCGCTTGAGGTTGTGGCGGGGTTGCGGTCCGGTGGGGGCCGTGAGCAGGTATGATGCGCTAACGCACAGGTGCGGCTCTCTGTGTGCGGGCGTTGGCGACAGATGATTCTTGCCGAGACATTAATGCTGCTTGTGCGTTTTTGCTTGGACGATTTTCTAGGGCGAGTTTGGTTCTGGGCTCTAGGTCTTGTGTCTGTTTTGACAGATGTTCAGTTTGCGTTGTACATTGAAGGACAGACTTGCCTGGTTCCTTTGGGCGCGATCTTGGCCGCCTGGTTGGACCTGAGGCTTGCGCAGGCTTTTTCCGATTCCAATTTTGCATGCGTTCGACGACTTGACACAGTTGTCCCAGAGGCAAGACGGTTTCCTGACTCTTCCTTTCCTCTTGGTCTCCTGGTCCCTTTCCATGACTATAGAGATGAGCATGGCCTGACAGATCTGTGTCTCGTTGCCCGACGCACGAGTTGTCATGCGGACGCTTGTCGATTAGACTGCGCAACTGCTGACCATTTGCTTTGGCAGCGGTTGGCAAGCGAAGAGCGACGATATGTTGTCCAGAAGACGAGAGTTGGGTTGTCGTGCGCTGCTTTAAGCGTCCGAGCCTTCGTGTAGTTGTCGCGGTCCCTGGAATGCTCGTACCGTTTCTGGGCGGGTCCTCGAAGACAGTTTAACAACTGGTTGAACTTCTCGATCTTAGACATTGATGGCTGGTGGCCTACGACCTGATTGACGACGTGATGAGTTTTGGTACTCGCGTCTTGCCGTCGATGTTGGCACGCTAAGCGAGGAGCTTGACTGCAGTCGTTGCCCATTAACCGTAGATTCGTTTTGCCTGTGCTGTTTTGTTCTGGTCCAGCTGTTCTTGACGCAAACCTTGGCTTGGTGATAACTCCTCTACCGAAACGAGTGCTGCGGTGTAGCTGCTGGATCCACTGCTTGGCCTCCTGTGTGGATAGCGAGTTTAAATACGATTCCAAATCGACACGGCAGCAGTTCCACGGATAGTTCAGTCGGTTCCACTGTTTGTCTGGCGTAGGTTTTTCGGCCTCGTTCGCTGGCTTGTTGCTCGCGGTTTTGGTTGTTTCTTTTTATTTCGGGTTGGCGATGCCTTGCTTGAGGTTGTGGGCGGCGAGACGACGGATGTGTGGGTTTGCTCCCGAGCAGCGGTGAAACGATGGCAAGAGGACAGTGCAAATGTGCTGGGGCGTTGAGGTTTGTATTGGGGTGCTCCGCTGGGGGTGTGTGATGAGGCCGAGCGTCGACTTCCTTGCTGTGGGCTTGGGGATGGCGTGTCCTCCCGTGTCCGCTTGTTGTCCACGCGACCGTGACGTGGCAGGGACTGCTGCAGCGGAGTTTGTGGCCGGCAGGGCTCCGGTGGATGCACAGGCTGCCCAGTGGGTGTGAGACGTGCGGGCGACGGTGGGCGGACGCTGGGTACCGGAGCGACGCTGGCGATGTACGACTTGGCAGGGCTCGTTAGCGCGTGCGTTGGTCGTAGAGATGGCGGACTTCCATCCCCATTGCAATAACTGCCGTCCTGTCGGTCTGTTAACAGGCTTATTCTTGGTGTTATTGTCGGGGTGCTGTTTATTGTTACTTATTGTTTTATTGTTTTACTTTTTAATGCTATGGTGTTTCGGTTTTTTTTTTTTCTGCCTTGTTTTGGTTGGCGTCCGTTAGGTGTCCTCGTGGGCGGATTTCTCTTTTGTTTCCACACTACGAAAGTGTATACACACTTGGCGAGGAACAAATGAAATATGGAATTTAAAATGTGGCGCCAAAGCTACAAGCATGCCCAAAATAGTTGTTAGCGTTTTTTCTGTATATTCTTGCCCCAATATGTCCCCAATTGTTACTATTTAATATAAACCGCCGGCCTCTACCTTATTTTAAAGATTTTGGATGCCTATACCACCTATAGACACTCTTCGGGGAATTTGCTGTTTATTAAAGAAAAATCATTAGAAAAACTAAAATTCCTTGTCATTTAATTCATTTAAATTTAGTGCAGATAAATTCTGACGCAATCTGTGCCTTTTGCTGATTTACAACAGCCAAAATAGTTGGTAAATGCTCTATTTCAAATTTGCAACTGCCAATTCGACAGTCTTTGTTTACGTTTTCATGAGCCGTAGCTGATCGATCAGCTGTTCGGATGGTGAATGTGCTTTGACGGTGTGTGGGAACACGAGTTTCACATTTGTGAAAAATCCAAAACGTTTCTCACAAATGTGCTGTGTGGGAAGACAGTATTAGAAGCTAATTTCAGATTTGTAACGTTACATCGCGAACGGTACAAGATTTTTATATGTTTTTACCTCACGTTTTTGTATGAATAACTTCATATTTTTTTGAAAAGCAAACTTATTGTGTACTTAATAGATATCAAAGAGAAATTGTTGTAGAAAACATTTTGTTTGTTTTGCATGCAAAAACTGAAATATAAAAATCACTTAAAAATACCATAAAATACCAAAATTTTCGTTTTCTGGCCGATATAATGGTTATTGATGTATGTACATACGTGTTCATACATACATACGTACATCCAAATTGCGAAATGATGTATTTTTTCCTATGGCGAACTTATGGCGCTTTGAAGCGTCATAAGTCCGCCGCAAGTATTTTAAACGCCATAATTTCGCGCGAACTTATGACGCTTTTCGGCGACATAAGATCGCGGCTGGCGAAATTATGTCGTTTTCTGTGGCGAACTTATGGCGCTTTGAAGCGTCATAAGTCCGCCGCAAAGTAAATTTTGAACGCCATAATTTCGCGCGAACTTATGACGCTTTTCGGCGACATAAGATCGCGGCTGGCGAAATTATGTCGTTTTTTCTGTGGCGAACTTATGGCGCTTTCAAGCGTCATAAGATCGCGCGAAATTATGTCGTTTTAAAACGGCGAACTTATGGCGGCGGACTTATGTCGTTACCCCGTCGCATCCACGATTTGATGCTTCATCTGGGCGTGGAAGTGTCTCACAATCATCTCAGTAAGACTGTGCCTGTGTGACAGTATCACAGGCCTCCTCGCACTGTACGGTATGCACAGCGCGGCATCAACTCTGCCATGAACTCGCAGAACTCCATGTTCATCCATGTACGGCGCCAGACCTCGAATCTCGCTCGAGCTGGCGACTTCCTTTCCGCGTTTCGCCGACCTCATCTCATCGGGAAACGATTCCAATTGGGCCTGCCTGACCAGCAGGTTCTCCGCGGCCTCACACTCCTTTGCAGTGAGTCCGTATTCCTCGAGCTCGCTTCTCTGTCTGCGGCACCAACGCGCAAACCTCAAGACCCAGGCTGTGGTCCTCACCAGGCGGCTGAAGCTCGAGAATCTCTGGAACGGAATGACAAATTCATTTGTGGCCACCAATGCAAACTCACTCGGCATCTCCTCGTCATCAGATGCATCCGGAACACGCTCAGTTCCCTCCTCAGGCACTGGCCAGCCGCTCGCTGGCTGCCTCAAAATGCGGGACCGCTTAGCCACCGGGATTCCGGGCTAAGGTCCGCCTTGTTCTGCGACCGCGTCGCATCATCCGCTGCGTTGTCAGCTGTAGGTACCCATCTCCACTGGGAAACCTCCGACGACTCCAAAATCTCCGCCACTCGGTTGCCAACAAACTGCTTATACCGGCGGTGGGTGCTGCCGATCCATCTCAGCACCGTTTTTGAGTCCATCCATAATACCGTCTCGCTGATGTCCACACTGTGCTCCTCCTTGATAGTGTTTATCAATCTGGTTCCAAGAACCGCTGCCTGCAGCTCCAGCCGTGGGATTGACATCGTTCTCATCGGCGCGCACTTCGTCTTTGCGCACACGAAACTAGCCAGCACTTTGCCATCCTCGTACATGACCCTCCAATAGGCCACCGCCGCGAATGCAGATTGACTCGCATCCACGAACACGTGCAACTCGATGGTCCGAACTGCTCCATGCCCAAAATAGTGCCGAGGACATCGGAACTGTCCCACGGCGTCCATCTGCCTGCGCCAGGCAGCAAAGGCTCTGCCTATCTCCTCCGGTAGTGGTTCGTCCCACTGGATCTTCTGCCTCCATATCTCTCGCAGCAACAGCTTCGCTGTAATCATCAGACAGCACAGGAATCCCAATGGGTCGAATGTTGACATCAGCAGGCTCAAATACTCCCTCTTTGTAGGGACTCGATCTCCACTTAGAACGCTTTCTGGCACTCGATGATACTCCACGTTGAATCTGAAGTCATCCGTTGCTACCTGCCAGCGCATTCCAAGGATCTTCTGCTCAGCCTCACCCCATCCGACGCTCTTGACTCGTCCAGGTGGTCCCAACGCCGCTTCCACGATGGGTGAGCTGGATGAAAACTGGCATAGTTCGAAGCCAGCCTCCGCATGTATCTCCTTCACTCGGGTAGATACCGCAATAGCCTCGCTCTCTGTAGCGAAACTGTCCACATAGTCATCAACATAATGGTGGTCGATGATGGCCTTGACTGCCCTCGGATCTGAATCCCGAAACTTCAGGGCATTCAGCGTCTTCACGTAATGCGCAGTGCTCGGCGAGCAGGCTGCTCCAAACGTCATTACGTTCATATTGTACACATCCGGGTCTCGATCGTCGTTGCCATCTCTCCAAAGGAACCGTTGGGAACATCGATCCTCGGGTCGGATCAGCACTTGGTGGAACATCTCCTTGATGTCACCGCAGACTCCGACTGCTCCTTCCCTGAAATGGAAGAGCACGGCTGGCAAGGGCTTATAGTGCTGAGGCCCCTTGTCCAGCGCCGAATTTAGAGAGGTTCCTCCAACCTTGGCTGCAGCATGAAACACAAGCCGGACCTTACCGGGCTTGTTCGGGTTTTCGACACCAAAATGTGGCAAATACCATAGCTTGTCGCTCTTCACGGCGACCTCATCCGGCTGCAGCTTCCTCGCATACCCTTTGGACACGTAATCCTTGATGATACGATCGTATTCCAGCGCCAACTGCCCGTTGCGCTTCAACTTCTTCTCTACGTTGATCAGCCGTCTGTGCGCCATCTCGTAGCTCCGTGGCAGCACAGCGTGGTCGTCCTTCCAGAATAGTCCCGTCTGGTAGCGACGCCCCACTTTCACCGTGGTGTCTTCGAGGATCCTTTGTGCCCGCGCGTCATCGCTTGCTGCGACCTGTGGCGCGAGCTTCACACCAAAGCTTTCCATCTCGAAGTAGTCCTCTACCATCTTTTCCATCGCATCTTCCATTGACACGGCTAGAAGGCAGGACCTCGGTGACGGCGTAGTCGATTGTCCACTTACCGGCCCATACACAAACCATCCAAGCTCGGTTGCGGCCGCATACGGTCCCTCTCTGGCAATCCGCCTCGTCCTAAGTGGCAATCCCAAATGTCCATGGTCCAGTCCGATGAGCAACTTCGGCACCGCGTTGCTGTAGGGCTTCATCGGCAGACGCGCATCCTTATGCACGCCCTGGACATCTCGCCGACATAACGTCTGCATCGGCAGACTCAAACTCGAAACGGCGTACACGTTCCTCAACGCGTGGCGAGTGGGCTTCCCAGCTCCACTTATCTCTAGACTCACCACGTTGGTGGGCTCTCTACTGGCCCTTCCTCCAAACCATTGAATGTTAAGCTGTCGATGTTCGCCTCGCACTCCCAGATCCCTCCGCAACTCGTCATCGATCATCGTGACGGAGGATCCTTCATCCAGAAGCGCGTAGGTATCTACCTGGCGACCAGCTCCGTACAGCGTTACTGGCAGTATACGGAACAATAGTCGGCCTCCCTCGGCGTCAATGCAGCTTAAGTTCCTTTGCAAAGGTGCCTCCGCTGGCTGCGGGGCTCTTCTCTCCAGGCTATTTCTGAGAACCGCCGGCTGCTGGCTCCTCTCGTGGTCCCTGTAACCACCTCGTGGCGAAGACCTTCTTTCCGGGCTGCGTCTGGAAACTGCTGACTGCTGGTTCCCACCGTCGTGGCGCCTGAAGCCACTTTGCTGCTCCGGCCATCTTCGCCCCTCGTCCGCTCCATGTAGCAGACGGTGATGCATCTGGCGGCATCCGTTGATTCGGCACTCGCCGTGCCCATTGCAGGTTCTAGCTGTATGACCAATCCGTAAGCATGTGAAGCAGAGCCGATGCCTCTTCACCATGCTCCACCTTCTCGATGGCGAAGCTCCGATGAACTCTCTACAGCTCGTCGTAGCGTGTTGCCCTCCACAAATGGGACAACCTCCATGCCGATCATCCCTCTGCTCGCATCCGTTCTGGTCGACGCTCGCATGCAGGACTCGACGCCTCGGCTCCTTTCCCTCGACGTCCAAAATCGTACACACGATGTTTGCATACTCCTGTAGCCACGTGCTGAAGTGCGCTACAGTGGGAAAGGGCTCGATCGATGCAGCGTGCCTGGCCCAATCCACTCGCTTGCTCGTAGGAAGCTTTGCCACTAGCTCCTCCATGAGGGTGGGGTTCCCCCAGGTGCTGCTCCGCCTTCGCTGAATGCAAGAAGGCCGTGAGGTTACTCACTCGGGTTGCGAAGGGGACGATCCTCGCCAGGTGCTGCTCCGAAATCGGCGGCACCTCTCGCACGCTGTTCAGCTGGCTGCGTATAAGCTGCTCCGGTCGGCCAAACCTAAAGCGCAGCTGCTCCATCACGGCGCTGACGTTCCCAGGGTGAATCAGTAGCGACTTCACTGTCTCGCGTGCTTCATCCTTCAGCGCCTTCAACAGCCTCTGGTTGTTCTCCAGGTCTGTGCAGTTGTATGCTTGGGTCGTCTCCACAAATGCACAGTTAAATATAGGCCACTCCTCGGGCTGCCCTCCAAATACAGGCAGGTCCGGAAGCCTTCTTGGCCCATTCGCTCCTTGGGCTCCATTCGGCGTCATCGAGGCGTAGGATCCAACAAATGGCGATGCTGTTGCCACGTTGTGGATGCTCCCGCCCGGTAGCACGAATCCATGCGCCGTCTGCGCAACACTCGTAGCACACAGTGGCTCCACTAGATGATTGCTAGTCGTTAGCAATGGCGGTCCACTCAATATGGTGGCTGCGTGCAGGCCGTACTGCTCGCACCGACACAGCTATGTGGGACAGGCCCGACCCCGTTAGTTGGGGCCTCACCGTTAGATGTGGCTACTGGCGGCCCGCCCCAAGATGGCGGCCGCCCCGACGCTTCACTGTTGGCGCCATTTGCGCTTGGGCCAACTGCGATTGGCGCGCGTTTGGCGGTACTCTCACTGTTCAGGACTTTAACCTGCTTCAGCTCATTCTCCAACGCCGTAATCCTCTCCATAAGGTACGACGTGAGTGGCTGGCCTTCCTCCGGCACTGAACTCGCAGCTGTGACAGCAGTACTCCTCGGTTGGGACGCTACTGTAGTCACCGTAGTGGCTGGGCGAGAAATGGCCGCCGCCGTGGTTATGTTCACTTGCGGCCGGTTTCCCGCTCCACTACTCGCTGGCTGCTGATCCGCTCGCGTTGTTGTAAGGGTGGCTTCCCCTCCGTTCAGCCGGGAACTCCTCCTGGGGGTATGCTGCATCCCAGGTTCAATATGGCGCTGCCTCAGCGCACTTCAAAATGGCGACCCTTGTGCCGCTGCCTGCGTCACACCGACGCTTGACGCTCCTTGCGCCTTCTGTCCGCTTGCTGCGGATACCTCAATTGACGCTGACTGCGTCTCCGTCCGTACCCAGTGTTCGGCGCTGGCTGCGCTCCTCAATGTCGCTGACTGCGACTCCTCTACTGGTACGGGAATGTGCGCCTGGCGCTCCTGCGCCACCGTCCGTACCCAGTGTTCGGCGCTGGCTGCGCTCCACTATATCGCTGACTGCGACTCTGCTACTGGGACGGGAATGCGCTCCTGGCAACTCTCTAGCTGGGCATCAGACCATCCAGCGCAAGTTGCCCTTGCAGTCTCCCTAGGACTGCGAATAAAAGGAGTTGTCTTGCTTCATGCGGAGTTGCCTTAAACGGCTCCCCACACAAGTAGGTCCGAAGAGAGGGATAACTTCAAGGGTGCGGTTTTATTCTGTGAATACATTAAATTAGCCTAATACATTTTTAAACTAACTTAAGCTTACCGCAGTGTGCCCTCCTACAATTCACAAGACAATGAAAAGGCACAATTTAGGCGGCATTCACAGTGCCGATATTAGTAGGCCCCTACTTCATGGGCCAAGAAATCCATACAACATCGGATAACTTACAAAATACTAGAATTTCCTTCCAACACTTATTCTACCTATCGATTACAATGTTTGGCCGTCGACAAGGACAGTTCAAAAAATTTCAACATTAGTAAACTGGCACGAGACTGAATTTTGGATAAAACATATGGCCCAAGAAAAAATGAAAATGGTCAATTAATGCTTGGAAGCAGTCGCATTACTGTTTCCAACAATAACATTTTATTTGATGATAATCAAAAGTGGCGACTTACTAATGGATTATATTCCCTAATTTTTCATAATCATCCAGAAAATTATAATGCAGATGAATTGGAAATTTATAGATCAATTTTATTAAAAAACCAATGTCTATCGAAGAAATTTTCTTCCGAATGGACAGGTGAAAGGAACGAGAGCATTTAAATATTCCAGCATTATTAAACCACTTTTAGCTAAATCTCCTATTGCTGAATCTACACCGAAACATACTAATCCACTAATAACTGGGACTGGTTTCATGAGACTTGACATGAATAAACCAAAGTATGTCTATTGGGATAATCCAAATGAATTAGTTGAGCGATTACAGCTATTAATAGCATCGAAATCTGCAGGAAATTCAAGTCATGAGAATGAAATTACATCTATAATTGAAGAAATGAGAGAGGCTCAAATAATATACTAATGAAGTATATATTAATACAACAGTATTCAAATATGGTTATTTGCATAATGTCTGTTGACAAGTTTGGACGGTATATACATGATAAGCAGAGCTCTAACCATTTAAAACGATATGAGAAAACACCAACAGGATTTTTCATAGACACCGATGGAAACTTTAATATTCAACGCAGACGTATAAAAAATGGAGGCTTTCCAAAAGAGAATGGTGACATAGTTATCAAGGAGTATGTTGATAAAGCTGTGAACGATATAAGAGCATCGCTAATGTCACATCAAGAGGAGTTAATTATTAGTATTCCTGATGTGAGGGCCACCGATATTGAGGATCGTTTAGACAGACTTGAGGTTATTATTTCAAGTATTATTGAAAAAAAAGGATATTCTAAGTAACTTGTGTGAAAATGAGTAGGCGGGGTATTATTAATGAATTACACGCTCCATCACGTAAAAATTTTTTACGTCGTAGGGTTATTATGAAGGGGATTGATGATTTATTTCAAGTTGACTTAGTCGAGATGGGGAAGTATTCATCCACTAATAAAGGGTATCGCTACCTTCTTACTGTTGTAGATGCATTCTCAAAATTTGCATGGGGTGAAGCAATTAAATCAAAAACTGGTAAAGATGTAACTGAGGCCATGGAAAAAGTATTTAAAACTGGTGGAAGAGTACCTAAGAATCTTCAATCGGATGATGGGAAAGAGTTCTTTAACTCACACTTTAAGGGGGTCTTCTCATTCAAAAGCCTTTTTTTGGACCCTTTTTAAAAAAATTCTTATTTGAAAACGCAAAGAATAATTGAAAACTTTTTTTATTTATTGTATTCAAAAATGTTCAAAGTAACTAAAAAAGTTGTTCTTGCCTCGATACGAGGGTTGTTCAAAGAGTAATGAGACTTCAAACTTGGTGGTCGAAAAAAAAGGTGTCGTCCTGGCGGCCACGATTCAGGGTCTCCAGAACGTCCGAAATGAAAAATAAAAACGGGGTTATAATCAGAATAGATGTCATTTTCGGCTGACGGAACAGATTTTTTTTAAACATTTTTAAAACAAAATGGCGGCCATTCAAAAAAAAAAATTCGATTTCGGGCGTTTTTTTTGTAGTTTAGTGTAAAAAAAATAGAAAAAAAAATTAAAAAAAAAATCTGTTCCGTCAGCCGAAAATGACATCAATTCTGCGTCGATTCCATTTTGTTTCATGAAAATCGGTTCAGTTGAACTGGAGATATCATGGCCGCCAGTTCGAAAAACGTGGTTTCGAGATAAACGCGTTTGAAGTTTGAAAAAAGGCTCATTTTGCATAGATCTTGCTTCACAAAAAAGGCTGTATCTTCTAAAGTATTTCGAATTTCTAAAAATCCTTTTGGGGACATATACACACCATCCCAAGCTATAAATAAATGAAAAAAAAAAAATCGAAAAAAAAAGTTGCCCAATGAGAAGACCCCCTTAAAGCTTTAATGAAACGATATAAAATTAATCATTATTCAACTTTTAGTACACTAAAGTCTTCAATTGTTGAACGTTTTAATAGAACATTAAAAGAACTCATGTGGAAAGAGTTTTCTTTCAATGGGACATATAAGTGGATTGACATGTACAAAGAGTTAATAAATAATTATAATAATACAACACATAGAACAATAAAAATGGCTCCCATAGATGTAAACAGCGAGAATGAGAATCATATTTTAAAAACTGTATACAATAACATAAAAATGTTTACAGGTAGCAAACTAAAAATTGGTGATAATGTTCGAATTTCTAAATATAAAGGAGTTTTTGAAAAAGCCTATACGCAAAATTGGAGCACTGAAATCTTTAAAATTATTAAAGTACAAAATACTAATCCTGTGACATACTTACTGGAGGATTTAAATTCTAATCCAATTAAGGGTGGTTTTTATACAGAAGAACTGAAAAAAACTCGTTTCCCAGATGAATACCTAGTTGAATAAGTCTTGAAAAGAAAGGGTAACAGAGCTCTTGTCCGCTGGCTCAATTTTCCCAAAACTGCTGATAGTTGGATTGAAACATCTGAAATTTGGTAATAATTCAAACACTTTGAAAATTTTCATTTTATTTTATTTTTATTTTTTTTTTATTTATGATATTTTAATAAATTCTTAAATATACTATTATTTACATAGGATTTATTTATAATTTTAATATCTTAGATTTAAACATTTTTAAATAAATTATTATTATATTTTATTACAAGCTTATATAATTTGTTTTATTTACATATTTTACATTTGTTTTATTATTATTTTTTTTTATTTTTATTTATTTATTTATTTTTTTTTTATTGTTTCTTATTATTCTTTGAATTTCTTAGCATAATAATCAGAAGCATAATGCTCTATGAGGTGGGTCATTTTTTCTATAGTCGCACTTTCATTTTCTTCAATCTTTCTTTTAAGTGATATTTTATTAGTTAGAGGTCTTTGAGAGCTCTCTATTTGGCTACGCCAAACCATTGTCTGAGCTTCCAAAGTGGCCATTTCACTCCTTATTCTATTTTCTATTGTAGAATAATGCCCTATTGCTAGAGTTGAAACTCCATCATCACAAATAATTCGCTTGTCATCTTTGTTGTCTAATGTTATTTTCGTTATTTTTATCGTGCTTATTTCATGTCCTCTAGATCTAAACATACACATAGAATCATATTCTTGCTGACCAGTAAATAGACATGTTTTATATCCATCAAATGTAATTTTTTGTAAACAACTACGTTTTATACCCTTGTTCTTTTTCACACACTTTTCAGGCTGATTACCGACACTTTCTGATTTATAGGCATACATCTTTGACCTCAAGCCTACAAACTCTGTCATTGCCCTACCATTCAATTCATCCTTAAAGAAACCTAACCGCTTCTTATTACACTGCTTAAAATTACAAAGTGCAGCCAATTCATCTGAATACTCGGATGTATCAAATTTATACTCGATATCATTTCTAATGTCTGCATATAAATCTTCTGTTTTTATTGAGTAAATAAATGAATCAGTGTCCATATAATTAAGTTTTAGCGCATCCCCAAATTTAGGTTTCATGTATGAATAGTGAAAATCATACATTTTCCATTTCGATAATTCTAAAACCACAAAACCTAAGTATAGCGGCTTATCACAAACGTTATGTAATTTCTTTAATTGAATTGCATAAAGTTTATCTGTAAACTTTTTTAAACTATGAAAGTTTGAACGACTTATTAAGTCC